CAACAACAAAGAAAACAGTTTCTTTTACCTTATTCCTTAGCTTTATTTTTGAAAAAGGTCAATACTGAACAGTACTTCTGGAAACAAGGTTTAAATTATATTTAAACTAATGTGGCACAGTTAAAAGTTTCATTGGGCTTCAGTTACCATTTTATAAGATTAATCCTTTCAACTCTGGAGTTTTTGCACTGAAGAGTGAGTCAGGAGATCTGGGTTCTCTTCAGAGTCCCATAAAATATGCCCAAATGACTTATAACAAGCCGTTTGAATTCTTTGCCAACATTTTTTAATGAATAAAGTAAATCCAGTCTGGGTCTCACTATTTTTTTAAGAATATTTTTATTTATTTATTCATCAGAGACACAGAGAGGGAGGCAGAGACATAGGCAGAGGGAGAAGCAGGCTCCATCCAGGGAGCCTGATGTGGGACTTGATCCCGGGACTTCAGGATCATGACTTGAGCCGTAGCCAGGCGCTCAACTGCTGAGCCACCCAGGCTTCCCGGTATCACTATTTTTAACTTGTAAAAACATTGCCAAGATACTGGTTTTAAAAATGTGTCCTCTCTATAAGGGATTGAGGATCCAGTGGGTCTTCAACCTTTAAGTGGAAACAGTTCACTGATAACAAAGTGTTCAGAAAACTCCTATTATAATTACGATCATAATGATGAGCAAAAGCAAAAATTGTTGCTGTTCGCTTTCTTCATATGGTCATGTTATCTTCAAAATACAAAGCTTTATCTTCTATTATTTAAGTAAAAACATAAAAACAATGCACTAAGCAATGACTTCCTCTCCACCAAAAAAAAAAAAAAAAAAAAGACACATTCAAAAAAATCCCCACAAAACAAATGCTTCAGTACCTCCCTCGAATGTATTTATAAGAACAGAAAAAGTCTCTAATTGGAACTTTCTAAAAGCATTTCTCCCCAATTAGAGTGCAGTAATGACTCTAAATGGCACTGTCTCGAGGACAGCTCATCAGTTAATTATAAGGAGTTCTCTAAATTGAGGAGTGAAGAATGATACTAAATTTCAATCAGTGTAGATAAATATGGCTTGTCATTATTCACTTGATATTTTAGACAGTCCCTTTAAAGAGGAAGACATGGAACAGAAATATTGTCTTTTCTAAAAGAATAGAGATTATGAGAATCACACTGAACATTTACTACAAGACTATACTGTTGTCTGGAATATGGTTTTTATAGTCATTCAATTTCCATGACCCCCAGAGACTTTCATTTGCTTGTCCATTTATTTTCCATCCGGCTCTTTCAAACAAGATAAAATAATATGATACTACTACTGCTGTACTTAACAGCCTGGAAAACTGGGTGTGTATTTTAAATATGGTAGTTATGTAGTTTAAAAATGTCTATTGAAGCTTCAATTCCTTTTAATTTTTGTGTTCCAACATAATTTAGCACTCTGTATTCTGGTAATAAATATCCTAAAATTCTATAATTTACATATGTTTCTTTCTGAGATTATTAGATTACCTACCCAGGTTTAACTTACTCTTTTAGTTTTAAAAGCAAACGTTAACAGAAACAATGGTTTAAACAGCAAGTTGTCAATACATATTATTTATCCTGACAATCTTCCAAAATTGCTCTATTATATTTTATTTTCTTCCTCTTGCTTTTTGATAGTTTTCACGAACCTTTTATCTCTAGCTTCCTTCATTTCAAATTATGCTTTCCTTATTTGTGTTCATAGAATTCTCAATCATGTTAAAAACAAATATGGGTTTTGTTTGTTTATTGTCACAGATATCCTCTTGTTATTCTCCACAATCACCTTATTCATGAATTGTAAGTTGTGGACCAGGCTCTGCTTAGAAATAGCCCTTAGTGTTTGTTCCTCTATTCCCAGAGGAGTTTGCTGCACATGCCTCCATCCCTTTCCATCTGGCCTCTGCACAAAGGGTTTATCCCACTTTAACACAATTCTTTGTTTTACGGAGGGCCTCGAGTTTATCTGAGAGTGAATACATATGAAACAATAATCATGTTACAGGAGAACCTGATCTGACCTTTTTTTTTTTCCATACACAAACCCTAAGATGACAGAGAAACTACACCTAGCCAGTAACAAAGACTAAGGGCTATAAGGATGACAGATCTGAAACAGACCTGCAAAATAGTAATGAAGGGTCTGATCGCCTTGGGATACTATCCATTATTACAGTGCTTGTGTCTATACAGCTTCAGGAAGAGAAAAAGGCGTGCTACTTTTTTTGTATCAGTGAAGAACCTTTGTGAGATTTTCACTTTGTAAGACATTAACAAGAAACAGCCGTATCTGCATACTGAGCTATCCATGAACTCTATTGCAATATATTTCTTTCAACAGAAAAATATAATTAAGGTATTAATGAATTAAAAAATGTGAACGCTTTTTTCCTTAGTGTAAATGACAGTAAGACTCCTGAAACCTCTCCTTTAACCGAAAACCCTCCTTTTTAAAATGCATGCTGGTCTGTGTTTAAAACAAGTCAGTTGATTTTTTACTCTGTATTCATGTTATCCAATCTTTATTTCTGGAAATAAGCAATTTTATAAGGAAATACTTGTTAAGAATTTTGCTGTAATTTTGCTTAGTAATAGACTGGAGAAACACACAATCTAAATGAAGAATAAACATTAAAGGGCTAAAAAGTACAAACACACAACACACAGGTCTTTTTTTTTCTCTCTTTTTTTAAAATGCTTTGTTTTTAATAATTCATTCCAAAATGTATTTGGAATTTGAGACACAAAGCTGTCTGAAAGACTTGACTTTATTGGGGTTTGAAAGAGTTTTAGATGCTGATGCAGTTGTCGATTTCAAACAGAATTACTGGTTTGAAAGATGGCAACCGAAATCTGGAACCTAACTGGGTACAGGTTACTTTGTGATGATCAAAGAACTAGAACCCCACCTCACTGACCCCATCAAAGCATACTAAAATTTTTTATTGAACATGTTCTTTTCATAGGACTTTGAAACACATTTTTATAGTAACCATGTTTTAGATTTAAGCTTCAAAAAATGACTCATTTTGATGTAGCATCGAAAACTACATTTGAAAATATTTCTCCCCGTTATTTGTTCTGTTGAAGGAATTAACCTTTGTATTCTTTTTTTTTTAAATTTTTATTTATTTATGATATTCACAGAGAGAGAGAGAGAGGCAGAGACACAGTCAGAGGGAGAAGCAGGCTCAATGCACCGGGAGCCCGACGTGGGATTCGATCCCGGGTCTCCAGGATCGCGCCCTGGGCCAAAGGCAGGCGCCAAACCGCTGCGCCACCCAGGGATCCCCCCCCCCTTTTTTTTTTTGGTATTCTTTTTTTAGGAATTAACCTTTGAATGCATCTAGTTCTCTTATTCTGAAAGGGTAAGGTGCTTTTTTTTTTTTTTTTGATAGCCACCATCCCTAAGAAACAGAAATTATAGGCCCCCAAATCCAAGTGCTCACGTATATAATACCCCGCGTTTGGTGGCAGGTGCTGAACCTTGTGTTGGATCCTTACGAATGGATTCCGTTTGCCAAAGGCAAAGTGGTTAAGAAGAAGCAAACATCAAGTTCCCCCTTGCTTCATCTTCGGTGGAGGAAATTCACAAGCTTCTGTAGATTGCAGTTTTAGGAAAATCAAATTTGTCATTAGAACAATATTGCCACTTCCCACTCGAAGCCTGTTTCAGAGTCCCCGCTCCTAACTGCTGACTCAGGTGGCCTCCGCTGCCAGTCCTGAGGCTTGCCCCAAACCGTCTACAGGGTCGATCAGGAGCAGACCACAGAGGGACAAACTGATGACCGCTCACTAGTTCTGGGTCTACCAAAGCCTGTGAATCTGGTCTAGACACGATGTTTGTCAGGACTGCAAAGGTGTAAGTAACAGCCTTTACGGGGGGGGGGGGGACCCCAGACCCTAAAGTTCTAAGTGCACGGGCTCAAGGTCACTGAGGGAAGGCAACATCGAGCCTGGGCTCCTCGACTCCTCGGCCCAGCCCCGGCTGGAGCCAAAGCCGACGCATCCCGGAGTTTCGGAGCTGCGCAGGACCACGGCGTGGGCAGGCCCTTTGTACTCCGGCTGCGCGGAGGTGAGCGCAGCCTCCCTTCTTCCGCCGCTGCCAGCATCCAGCATCCAGCATCCAGCATCCAGCATCCAGCAATGGGTGTAGGGGAAGGAGAGCAGCCCCCAGCGAGCCCTTCGAGACGCGGGCGCTGGGGAGGGTGAGGAGGGGAGGAAGGCGGGGGCGGCGGGGGCGGCGGGGGCGGCGGGGCCCTGGTCCCGGGGACCGAGGCCCGGCGTGCGCGCGTCCGGACGGGAGGGGGAGGGGCGCGAGTGGAAACCGGACCCGGCGCCGGTGCCTGCCAAAGGGGGCGAAGGCGGCCCGGGAGGGCGGGGGGGGGGCGGGAAGCGGGGGGAGGCCGGGAAAGAGGAAGGAAAGGCGGGACGGGTGAGAGGAAGAGCGGCTGCAATTTCTGCGGGCGGCTCAGGAGGAGGAGCAGGAGGAGGATCCAGAGTCCGTCAGTCAGGCAGGCAGGCAGGCAGGCAGCCGGCGGGAGGTGGGGAAGCGGCGGCGGCGGCGGCGGCAGCAGGAGGAGGAGGAGGAGGAGGAGGATTAAAGATGGCCACCGACAGCTGCGGGGAACGGCAGCAGCCCCCCACTTTCCGGGATGGTCCCCGCGGGGCGGCCCGGCCTTGATGGAGAGGAGAGGCTCGGGGAGCGCCGAGGCTGAGGCGGCGGCGGCGGCGGGGACCCAGCGACGAGGAGGCCGCGCGGGAGCAGGGAGCGGGGCCGCAGGAGGGACAGGCGGCGGCGTCGCTGCCCCGGCCGCCTAGCGCCGCTGCCCGCTCCGGCGGGCCGGTTCCCGCAGCCCGCGGCCGCAGAGGCGAGCCGCCGTCCCGCCCGCCGTCCCGCCCGCCGTCCCGCCCGCCGTCCCGGGCCCCGCCGCGGACGCCGCGCCCGCCGACCCCTGCCCGGCGCCGGCGCGCGCTCGGGCCCGCCGCGGTCCCCGCTCCCGGGCCAGGCCCGCCCGCCCGCCCGCCCGCGCCCCGGTGAGTGCCCCCCGCCGGCGCCCCCTACCCCTACCTCTACCCCGCCCCCCGCCCCGCGCCCCCGCCCCGCGCCCCCGCCCCCGCGCCGCGCCGCTTTGTCTGTGCGGGGCGGAGGCGCTGCCCACTCGCGGCCCCGTGCCCGCTGCCCCCGCGGACAGGCCGCGGCCCAGCTGCCGCCCTCCCCCGGGACCGCGCTGCTCCGAGCCGCCGCCGCCGCCGCCGCCGCCGCCGCCGGGGCTGGCCGCCTGCCCTGTGCCCTCCGCCGCGGCCTGGAGAGGGCGCCGTCGCGGTGGGGTCGGGGTCGGGGTCGGGGCCGGGGTCACGCGCGGCCGGCCGCGAGGGAGCGGCGCCGGGGCGCGGGGCGGGCGGGGGCGGGGGCGGACCGCGCCCGACGTGGCCCCTCGCGAGCAAGCAGGGGAGGTGTGACCCGGCGGCGCCGCGTGGGTCCGCTCGGGCCCCCTTTCCCGGGCCCCTTTCCCGGGCCCCTTTCCCGGGCCCCGCGGGGTCCGCGCTCCCGGAGGCCCCTGCGCCCGTGCGCCGCCGAGCGAGGCCTGCATCCCTCGGGCGCCGTCTCCCGGGCCGCGGGCCTCTCCTGCTGCTGATTCCCGAGCCCTGCTCGCCCCCAACGCCCCGTGCTGGGAACCGGGCGGCTCCCGGGGTGTGTGTTCGCCCTTTTACTTCCTCGTACGCGGGATGCGGCGGCATCGCAGACGTTCTCAGTCGCGGTGGGGTTCCGAGGGCGGGCGTGACCTTTCCCTACCAGAAGCCGTTCGGCCCACCTGGCCCGCGTTTGAGCCCCAGGTGCAGCATTTCGTTGATTCATGCCATTGAATTCTGACATCTGCAGCATTAGGTCCTCTTTTTTGCTGAGATAATCTGATAAAAGCTGACCGAAGGATGTTTACTGTATGTGTGAATCCTTGCCTCTACTTCCAGTGCCTTGAAAATGGTTGTTTCCTGTGGGAAAATGGTGCTAATGCATAGGGAAAACATTTTTTTTTTTTCCCCAGTAATGGGTGTGAGTTGGTTAGTGCCAAATGCTTATTTGTAGTCTGAAAACCAAACGATTAAAAAAGAACTACAAAACCTTTTGCTTTGAGATAGCACTGTATTTCCAGGTTGGAATCGTTTGAGAGCAGGTTTAGAACAATTAGTTTCCACCATCCGGCTAATAAAACAACGTAAAACAGAACCAAAAATATGTTGGCTAAAAAAACCGAACAAACGTGTGTGTTAGTGCACAGGTCTAGCAAAAAATTAATCCTGCTTAAAAAAAAAATCGAACTTTATGGTGGGACTCTAAGCACAGGAAATAGCTTGGTATGTTTTTTTATATTTAGAAATACATACTGCATTAGACGGACTTGAGAACTCTTCCTAGAATATTTGAGCACAGTACTACGTGTTATACTTTGAACCATTCATTCTCAGGCTGCTAGAAATATAGATTTAGACTACTAGCTTCTTTTTCTGAGTTGAAATCAATACATGTAAAAAATGTTGACATCTCTGATTTAAAATTTCTGCAAAAAGGAGATATGAATTAGAGAGCATGACGTCCTGCTCTTGCAAAATCTATTAAACAGGAAAAGAAAATAAATGACCGTATGATATTTCAATATTACTTGGATTATCTACTCGGAAGATTCTTAAACTTTGCAATTTTAAGAGTTTATATCAGCCATTCTTAATTTAATGCATGTGCTTCAGAGAGGGTCCTTGAATCCTTAGAAAGCCTATGCAGCATGTAGCATATATTTGGATTCTTTTCTAGATAAAGAGTTCATGGAGTCATCACATTCCCAAAAGATACGGCTCCACAAAAGATTATGAAATAGTGGATATATAATTAATCTCCTGAATTTGGAAGGTAAAATTCTTGGAGACTTGATAGTTTATATCCTTTTCCTTGCAGTTATGGCCAAGAAATTTTTGTTATTGAGAGTTTAGTACATACAAATCATTTTTCACGGTCGTACTGAACCCTCAGGAAAATATTAATCCCGTTTTACGGATGAGGAGACAGATATTTAGAGATGCTTGTTCAAAGTCACACAGCCACTGGTGGGTCAACATTTGAACCCAGGCCGTCTAAAGTCAGAGCTAGCACTTTTAGCAACAAGGCTACACTAAGCTTTAAGTCAATGATAACATTTACTTGATGTTACAGTGAGTAATTGATGTTTCGTTAAAATTGAAAAGTGGATCTGAGATAATTATAACATATATCCTGGAATTTTAGAGCCACTGATTCAGTGTAGGAAGATAATGCAGATTATCTCAGCAAAAAAGAGGACCTTTAGTGATGCTAACCTCTCTTAATGATACTGATCTGAAATCATACCCACAGTAGGGCCATTTCTATAGCATTCTTGGAAGGATCATCCAGCCTCTGATTTTCATACCTATGTGATTACAAGTTCACTTCTTTTTTCGACATTTTACATCTTTTTCTGTTTATGTAAGTTAAAATCTGCCTCCTAACATTTCTGCTAAATTCCAGTTTCCCTTTCGTATGTATGATGCATTTATCATCCATAAAAGAATTAAGAGATAAATGACTCCTACTCTAATTTTTTTTGTCATCGGGTTTAATGAAGTATAATTTGCACGCAGCAGTAAAAGTTTTGACAAATATATACAATTGGATAATCACAATCAAGATAGGAAACATTTCCATCAGACCAAAAGGTTCTCTCCCTCTGCCCCCAGCACCTGGCAACTATTAATCTTATTCATATCTCTATAGTTTTCTTTTCTAGAATATCATGTAAATGAAATCCTACAATGTGTAAGTCTTGTGTGTCTTCTTTCACTGAGCATAATGATTTTGATACTAAGTTGTTGCATGTATCAATAGTTTGTTTAATGGTATTCTGATAAATGTTGTAACAACCTGCTCTCCAAAGGGAAAAAAAAAACCTGATTTATACTATTTGCTAATTATTGCAGCATAAATACTATTATCATGGCCTGTGTTAAGGTATCTTGAGTCATGCCTCGTTTGAGTCAGTTATGAATAAAGCTTTTGTAAACAGTGTGAGGGACAAATGTTTTTGTTTTCTTGAGTTGTACCTAGGAGTGGGATTATAGGGTCCTCAGAGAAGTGTATATTTGTCGATAGCAATAACTTTCTGTGAATTGCCAGACTTTTCCAAATTGACTGTACTATTTTGTATTCCTGCCAGAGTGTTAGGAGAATTTCAGTTGCACTGCATCCTTGTCAGTACTTATTATTGTCAGTTATTAAACTTCTGGCCATTAATTTGTGTGTAGCAGTCTCCTTTAATGTTTTTGACTTTTTAACTCATTTGTGGTAGTATTTGAACTAACAGAAGCTTATGACTGAGATTGCTGAATGATTCTTTTTGACTTGTTCATCAGTCATCATCTCACTGTGAAAGGTACAGCACTCAAAATGTTTCTTGATTATTATGAAATTGCCTTTCATGTTATTAGAATTGCTTTTTTGAGAGGAATCACTAGGGAATTCTGAAACTTAGCTGTTAACATTTTTAAAACGTGGCTAAGAAAAACCTAGGTAAAGCTTTGTTTCTTTCATAAAAATTTAGAATTAAAAAAAAAAACTCAAATTATGAAGCATTTCTTCAACTTTTGCTTAAACAAAAAAAAAAAAAGAGAGAGAGAGAGTGAGAGACTGAAATAATTTAGTCATGTAGACTTTGAACTCATCCAGGAACTTGTAAGAAGTGTTAATACATAAAAGATTGAAGCATTGGGATCCCTGGGTGGCGCAGCGGTTTAGCTCCTGCCTTTGGCCCAGGGCGCGATCCTGGAGACCCGGGATCGAATCCCACGTCGGGCTCCCGGTGCATGGAGCCTGCTTCTCCCTCTGCCTATGTCTCTGCCTCTCTCTCTCTCTCTGTGTGACTATCATAAATAAATAAAAGAAAATTAAAAAAATGTTAAAAAAAAAGATTGAAGCATTATTTTTCTGGTAATTAGAAAAATTAGAAAATTAGAAAGCCAATTTTCTTGTAATATTATAACGTATATTTCTAATTAAGTGTATTTTTTTTGCTACTATCAGTTTGTCAAGTTTTATTTTTCATATATAATGTGTAAACGTTAATCACGTTTAGAGTGCTGATTTTCTTCAGAGAGCTAAAATGGGTTTTAGTTTTTCCATTTGGAGTGACAACACATTTGAAGGCTAATCATTTAAATATAACTTAAAAGCAGTACATTTGTGATATTTTAGCATGCGTACTAACTATCACTTGTTACTTTACTGTCCAAACCTTATATACTTGGCTCTGGATTCATATATCCAACTGCTAGTTTAGACATACCCAACTGAGATGTTCCATAGACATTGTCAACCTCAACCTATTCAAACCTCAACTCCTAATGTTTCCTTCCTGCAAAGTGTCCTCCTTCCTCCTCTCTTCTCAATTTGAGAAAATGCCATTGTCATCTACCATGTCACTAGGTGGGCACCTGACTGTCATCTTCCACTTCTCTGTCTTCCTCAGTTTCCACTGAGGAAGTCCTCGGTCCATTTGCTTTTATGTTCTAAGTACTTCTCCTCCTAATAGGCCTTAATTTGGGCCTGTAATTTGGGCCTGTATTTCTCTGCTGAAGTATTGCAGTGCTCCTCTATACATGATCTCCTTAGCTCTGGTCTCACCTCTGCACATCAATTCCCCTCACACCCTTTCTAAAACAAATGCTTTTTTCTAATTTTGAAAAATACACAATTGTGATGATTTCAATATGCATTTTTTTTCTCTTTAAAAATTTTTAAAATACCCTAAGTTAACAAAGAGCCATTTAAAGCATGGGCTACTAGTCTGTCCAAAGCTTTTTGTGACCTGGCTGTGGCTTCTCTGGTCTTATCTCTGACAGAGAGTCATTTATTAAAAAAAAAAAAAAAAGAGATTTGAGTGTGTGCTCTTCAGAGTGCTAGGTGATAGAGGTTTATCAAGCTTAAACTCTAGAGGGGGACAGACAAGTGTCTGCTATTGTCAGTTGGTACT